AGAGAGAGAGAGAGAGAGAGAGAGAGAGAGAGAGAGAGAGAGAGAGAGAGAGAGAGAGAGAGAATAAATTCTATAGCCACCCCCTGGCCCAGAAGTATGGAGAAACCCAACTGCTGAAATTCATCCCTCCTCTCCTTTCTGCTTTGTGGAAGATAGACCAAAATTACAAGACACAGAGAGAATAAAAGTGTTATTAAAAAGGGGGGGGGGGGGGGAGTATGTAAACTCCTTTTTAGCTTTAAAAATTCAATGTGTAACATTCAGTGGCAAAGGAGATGGAAACATAGAGCTGTTTCAGCTCTGTTTTCAGCGTCTGAAAAGAACTTCCAAGAGAAAACCATCCAAGACAATATAAGGCTCTGAGCAAATTACAAGATGCTACAATATGGAAGCAACTCTGACAGAAAGAGGTGCTAATTTGTATAAAACACACAAGGAATGAGACAATAAATTAGACCTAAATACCCACGGTCATATTCACAGTATTCTAACTCAATATGTCTATTTTAGCTTTTTTTTAAATTTATAATTTCAAAGTTAATTTTTTTCCCCTTGAAACATATTTCCCTCTGTTTCAGCTTTTCCTGGACTCCCCTCCTGAACTGTCAGGGCTGGGAGATGCCCTGTTTCTTTCCCCAAATTCTGCCATTGTTTTTAAAAGACAAATTGTCTTCTAAAGGGAGAGGTTTGGGTAATTTGACTTAGCATGTGATCTAGGTCATGCAAGTGCAGATAGAGATTCCATGGCTGAGAAGGGTAAAGGTGAACTGAAACTCAGGCGTGTCTTGTTGGGTGGGGGGCAAGTTTGCTACATGAGCCTTACCCTGAAAGAAAAGAAAAGAAAAGAAAAGAAAAGAAAAGAAAAGAAAAGAAAAGAAAAGAAAAGAAAAGAAAAGAAAAGAAAAGAAAAGAAAAGAAAAGAAAAGAAAAGAAAAGAAAAGAAAAGAAAAGAAAAGAAAAGAAAAGAAAAGAAAAGAAAAGAAAAGAAAAATATTTTCTAAGCTTGCCTTCATTTTATAACAGGGTCCCCCAAAGTGATCAGTATCGATCCCAAGGGTCAATGGAATTATCCAAGGGGTCGATAAATGGCTGAGGGTCAAAAGAGGGTCAGTAAATGTCTGGGGGTCAACAGATGGTTGATAAATGATGGAAAGTCAGTTGGGGTCAATTAATCTTTTGACGTCTCTGTAGAGCTCCACACCAGTCCACAGTCCTGAACATAAAGCGGCTAGTGGCAAGACAATGTTACCCATGGTTGGATGGTCAACAACCAGTAAGAGCGGCCTTTAGTGATCTCTATTATCATTATTGTTATTATTATTCATATAATATTAGTTAAAGTAGTATTTATCAAATTATTTTCATATAATATGTGCTTAGGGGTTGATGAACAATCTGAAACTTCGTGGAGGGGTTGATGAGTTGGAGAGTTTGGGGACCCCTGGTTTATAACAACCTGATACAAGCTGGCTTGGTGTATAACTGCAGCTTTATACTTAATCAGTCCTGTCTTAAGAAAACTGGCTTACTTCTGCCAACAGCTTCAGCAGATGCACTGTTAATATACTTGAAGGCATACATATAACCCAAGTTACTTCTCCCTGGAAATCAGTTAGATTAATTCCCCATGGGTGCCTCTGTAGTAATTTCCATTCTCTGCTGTTTGCTTCACTTTCAGGCACAGAGAAGCAGCTTTTATTATGCCAAATGATATTTAGTGGTGGTGGTGGGAGAATCCTCACTCTTTTGTCAGAGAGATGCTCCTTGATTTACTGGTAGTAATAAAAAAAGAACATCTTTCACCAATTCCAAACATGGAGTGCATCTGCAAAGTGTGCATATATGTCAAAAGGGCTATTTTCACTCCATTTCCCATGGAAGGAAAAAATGAAGAAAATGCATTGCTTGAAATGCCATGCCATTACTTCCATAAAAGACAGAGAAATGAGAAATCACTCTAATATTTCATACATTATAAATAAATGCATTTTCCATCTCAGCTATTGCAGATATTAAAGTGCATGTCCAATTTTTAAATGTTACAAATGTAGTTTATAAATAGCTGTACCTTAATCTTACTGTATCTGATCTGAGTCCAGCTCAGATAACAGTACCAAGCCACCTTTTGGTGGATCTCAAAAAAAAAAAAAAACGGCTAAGCAGGGTTGGAGCTAAGTAGTCTTGGATGGGAGACCACCAGGAAAAGCCAGAGCTGTAGGCGAGAATGGGAACTAGAAAAAACATCCCATTCTAGAAGGCAATGACAAGCCATGGGTGTCATGATGCCATGAAAATAACTTGGTTGTCTCAAATTTGTTACCAGGAGTCACATTTAACTTTAGAGAGTCTTTACCTTTCTTGCTTGCCTAATTTTAAAACAATTGTGGTGAAAATCATATTTTTTAGGCTTTCTTTTCAAGCACATTAAAAAAAAAAGTCTTAGCTTCATGAAAGAAATTAGCAGCGTGACTGGAAGCTGAGCACATGTGATTATGAAATTCAAGTACAGGGCCCAATAGAGATGGGAAGTTTAACTCCGTTGTGCTCAAAGCTCTCCAGACTAAGCCTCATTCTTTACCTCTTCTGCAGTTGCTAAACCAGGTGGATGTTCTGTTTTGTTTTTTAAATTTTTGAGGGGTGGGGAGAGAAGGAAACAATTCATCTCTTTTAGCAGGTAGGGGAAAATGACATTTAGGAGCCATATTGTGACTCTACGCCCTTAAAAGAAAAACAAAACAAAACAAAACCATTGTTTGTGGCAGTGGCCACAGGAGTAGAGTTTGGATTACTATTTTACCCAGAATACATGAATTGAATTATTTTGCCTCCAAATGCATGCAAAGTAATTCTGGCCAGACCAGTACTCTAACTGTGCCTGATGAGTTCCTCTGAAATGAAAACTGCTTTTCCTGGCAAACTTTATTGCTAGGTAATTGTACCGATCGCTTTGAAAACTTGCAGTTTTAAATGGATGGAATGTATTTTATTTTCATGGCCCTGCTTTGGTTCTCTTGCCTCTATACGCTAGTCCTGCAGAAGACTGTGAGGAGTTAGTGATATGGATCCCTTTTCCTTTTTCCATATGCAGGAAGTACCTGTGCAGAAAGGGTTATTTAGACATGTCTTGGCACGCTTTGCATTGCCAATCCCTCCACAAATGCATTTAGGCTTTGTGGATTGCATCAGTGTGTTGTTAATCATTCTTACCTGCTTCTTATCTATATTCCTACTTGTAACCATTCAGATAAAGAGGACAACACCAGCTCCTTAATCTAATATCTGCCAAGGGAAGAGGAACAATAGTTGCCTAAGAACAATGTTCTCATAAACAAAGGCTCACTTATCTGGGTTTCCAAGGTCCTGATAAGGCATGTCATCTGACCATCCCCAGGTGCTGTCTGCTAGAGACCCTGTCTTCAATAAAAAAATATTCTTGGCATAGATTCCATGTCTAAAATTATGATCAAATCCCTGATAAGATGCGCTGCCACACCATTTCTAGGTGTTATTGTTTATATTGCCTGTCTGAAAAGATGGCAAAAGTTCCCAGACAGTTTGAACCTCTGCATAGGCCCAAAGTCCTGGAGGGTGCCGTGCAGCTCCCGGGGGTCCATTGGTTGCCATTCTGGGGATTCATGGCCTGCTGAAGGGTTGTGGATTGGTATTTCTTTCTCTGCTAACTCTCTTCATGTTTATTCCATAAAGTCATCTTTGGCATTTCACCCTGGTTCAAGCTTATTGCCTCTGAATCCTAAAGAACCTTTTGGATCCCAGATAGCCAACAGGTGTCAACAACTGTGCTTCACAGATACAAATGGGGAAGGACCTTAGGCAGGGAGACACAGAAAGAAAAGCAACGGACTGTACAAAAGGGAGTTACTATATCTAAAGCTGGCTAGAAATGACAGCACACATTTTAAAGCAGTTTCACTCATCTCAATGAATTCTGTGGATTCATTGCTTTTTCCATCTCTTAAAGTCCTACTAGAGTTTTATTGAGGGACTGCCTATCGCCCAAGGTTTCTGCCCAGCCATGTGAACCAACAGAGTCTCTTCAATTAAACATTGTCATCTGTTGGGATGACTCTGTTGTGCTGCCTGCCCTCTGGAATGAGATCCCCCAGAGATCAGCATGGCTCCCATTCTGATGGTGTTCTGGAAGGGCTTCAAGAGCTGGCTGTTCTCCCAGGCCTTGTGTTAGGGTGGATGGAGCTCCTTTTTGCTTGTATTTTGTAGATGTTTTTCTAGGTTGTTTAGCCATTCCTTATTTACCAATTATTGCTTCTTTTTTTTTTTAATCTTGTTTTGTCATAATACGAGCTACCCAAAATCAGTCTAGAGTTGAGTGGTGCCAAAATCAATCAATCAAATAAATAAATAAGCAAGTCCAAAGCTTTAAAAGGCACAGTGTTCCATTTACAGGGAGTGGGTTAATCAGAAATTAACCAAGTGGGCTGTGGGTGGTTCCAAAATTATTAAGAAGTGATCTCAACCACAAGCAGACACAGCACCTCTCTGCTATTCATTAAAGAATGAGTCTGAAAAAAGATACAGCTGCTTTAAGGAGTTACCTCTTTAATACCACTTTTAAAGCAGCTGGATCTCCCCCCCCCTCCCCAAATGCTAGGCAGCTTTAAAGAATACCAGAGAGATAATATGCATGTGCAAGATCCAAAGCATTTCTTCTACATCATTTTCAAAGTGAGCACAGCCCTATTAATCATGCAATCCTATTTAAAAATAAACCCCATTGGCTTAAATAGGGCTTGGTCCCAAGATAGCATGCTAAATAATCAATGAGATTAATCAATAAGTTGAAACAATGAAACAAAGAAGGGAAGGATTTCAGGCCACTTTCATCTGAAACAATTAGATTCAAATGATTTTCCTAATGTATTACTTTATTTTAATCATGGATGATTAAATACAGAAGAGAATGCAATTACAGATTTTAAATCCTCATTATTAGCATTAGTATTAGTATCCTGCAATTTAACAGATGGATTCTTCAGCTTCCAAAGAGTACTATGTGTTCCATGTATTAATAATGACTTGATGTTCTATCATTATAACATTGTTAAAAAGTACAATTTAGACTTTAAGGGAGCAAAAGAATCAATAAGTACCATTTATGCATGTTGATTCAGGAAAAAGGTTGACTGAATTTAGTAGGTTTGGTTTTAAGGTAAGTGTGAGTATGACTGCAGCTTTAGTTCTTTTCTTGTGCTTTAGTTTTCTAAAACAATAACAAGAAAAAATATCTAACTCTGCCCAATGTCAATTTAATTTAATGAACAGAATTTAAGATTTTGGTAAGAAGGCAATGTCCTTTTGCTATAAAGTTGATGCCAAGCTATGAATCACATATACTAATCTTCTGTTCTGTATGTGATTTTATGAAGTGGCAAACAAGGATGGTTGCTATTTCAATAGGAATTGATTACGTCATATAATGTATGATGCCCTATTAGAGCTGGGTCCCATCAATTAAAGAATGCCATCCTGTGCCTTTTCTGACATAGCACCTGCCCTCTGGAACATTTTACTGCCTGAAATCAGATTGGCCCCAACCCTGCTTGCCTTCTGAAAAGTGTTGAAAACCTGGTTGTTTGCCCAGGCATGGGAGTTATGTAGTTAGTTAAGCCCAAGTGTGTTGACATTATATTACACTGCTTTTTATTCTGTCTGATGTTTTTCTTTTGAATTATATGTTTTGCATCTATTTAAACTTTCTTTGCTGCCCAGAGTCACTGTGATGAGAAGGGCGGTCATATAAAAATAAATAAATAAATAAATAAAATACATAAAGTCATAGTAATAATGGAAGCTTTAGTTAATGGCTTGAGTGAGTGGCAAATCACTAAACTTACCCATCAGGTTCTTCCCTTTGCCCATCTTTTGAATTCTGTTCATCTCATTCTGGCACGGGAGGCCTAAAACATAATTCATAAGAATGAGTTTCCAGATGGTGAGGGACAGACCCTCTAATGATTAGCTTCACAATTGACAGGCAATGTTGTCTATTGCTCACCTGGGAATGAATGAACTACATATGCTTGTACTGTACAGCAGAACAAATGCATGACATTAGCTTTACTAATTAAAAAATTCACAACATGCTATGCTTAAAAATAGTGTTTGGGGGCCATTTTATTTGTTAAACAGTTTTTTCTTTCTCTTCATTGGCCTGATATAAACAGGATGCTAATTTACCATTGGCTTGTCAGTTAATTTCCACATTTTAAGAAATTGCCTAGGCTATAAACTAATAGCAACTGAAGCAGTTCTGAAGTTTTCATTGCAATTCATGGCCATGATCTACATTTCTCAGGGTATTTACAGAGCATCCTGCTGTTTAACCAATGGAACAAAGACCTCATGGGATAGAACTTAGTGTGTTTTGCAGTAGTTGAGTAGTAGACCACACAAGATTTAGAAGTTTGGCCCTACAATGGAGAAGGGCAGAAATTTTTGTGTGCATGTCAGATACATGTTGCTGGCACCTTCCCTCTCTACCTGTAAGCTGAATGTCTACAAAGTATGATTTTTTGTTATAATGTTTCCAAAAATCTGTATGGGATATTGCAAAGAAGGTTCTCCATTCCTCTCAGAAGCAGCCAAAAAGCATCTGCTATTCCTGCTTAGACTACTACTGAAACAGATGGGACATAGAAGGTGTCATATTGATATAGAGATGCTTCTGTGGATGTGGCAAGAAATTAACAGCCCTTACAGAATACTCTGCAGATTTCTAACAAAATGTAACATTCTGAGTGAATGTCTTCTGTTTATGTAATAATGGTTTTGTTTATGCTTATACAGAAATATAAGGAAATATAAAAGGAGTAGCAAGAAAAATGTGGAGAAAGTAAAGAATAGTAAATTGGAAAGATGAGGATGAAAATGCAAATCTTTTGTTCAAAAAGAAAGATTAGAATTAGAAACAGGTAAAACATATTAACAGAGAAGAATTTCATGAAAAAAACTAATACATTATGAAATGGAAAAAAGGAAAGATAGAAAAAGGATATATGAAATTTGATAAATTTATCTTTGAATATATTAGGGACTGTCTGGATGGTGTCTTTACCATTCAATCTTTCTTTGTTCTGTTTAAATAAAGAGTTTAAATGAAACAACTCAAGGAAAAAAGCAAAATACCTCCATATCTGTTTTCAGATAGGAGAAACAGCTCTAAAACAGAAACACTGGAAAATAATCCTAAATTACTAAATTACATAAAAACTTTCTTTCATCTGGGGAAAAGCTGATCCTTGACCTCAAACAGTCTCTGTGTATCAATAAATGTTTTTGTGTTCATTGTGAGAGGGATATAGGTGATAATAAGCAGATATGGGTATGAGAAAAGTCAGTTGTCTACTATTAACCCTCTCACCTTGGAGAAACAGATAATATTTTAAGTCAAGTTAATGAAAGTATACCGGTTATGTGTCTAATTACTGTGCCAAACAGGGGGAAAAAAGGACTAAAGGGATATCTATCCTGTATTCTACCCATGGCTTGTTTGAATTGGACTAGGCTATAAATATTGACTTTAATGCAAATGTTGGAGAGGAACCTGCATTGGAAACTATTGGAAAATATGGACTAGGAACCTGCAGGGAAGCAGGCCAATGGCTGATGCTTCTGTGCAGAACATGGTCTGTTCATTGCTAATACATTCTTTCAGCAACCCAAATGACAGGTCTATACCTGAATGAATCAACAACATAGTAATGGAATAGATTACATCTTATGTAGCAACAGATGGAAAAGTTCTCTGCTGACTTGTAAAATACTGTCAGGTGCTGAGTGTGGACCAGACTATCAGTTACTAATCACAGAAATATGCTTTAGACTGAAAAAAAAGTCTAGAAAGAATCAAATCCAAATGAGATATAACACATTCCTGAGGAATATAAGATTGAGGTCAGGAGCAAAGACCTGGACCATTGTGGGAAGAATTGTGGGAAAAAATTAAAAGAGGAAGCTGGAAAATACATAGGAACTTGGAGTGCAAATAGAAGAAAACAACAAAACTGGAAGAACAGGGGATCTATTTAGGAAAATTAGAGAAATCACAGGAACATTCCAACATCATGTTAATGTCATAAGGAATACACATGGAAAGGATTTAATGACGGAAAATAATGTTTTAAAAGGTGCAAGGAATACATGAAAAACTGTACAGGACAACCAACTTAGATAAGATTGAATTCAAGAAAGAAGAAGTTGACAATGAACCAATGGTGCTTGAGGAGGAAGTCAGATGGACTATAAACCAACTATCAATTAGAAAAGGCCCAGTGGTGGATGAAATTGCCACAGAGTGCTTAAAGGAAGCTGGTGTGCCAACAGTAAAGAACATGATAGCTCTCCACCAACTAATATGTAAAGAAACAGCATGGCCCAAAGACTGGAAAGTCTATCTATATCCCAACCCCTAAAAAGAGAGATTTAAAAGAATTACAGAACAGTAACCTTAATACCATAGACCATCTGAAAATCCTTCAGAATAGATTAGAAATTTATATGGAGATAAGTGGCAATTGAACAAGGAGGCTTCAAAATCAACTATCTGATTCTTCTGATAAGAAATCTCTACAATAAGCAGTGAGAATGGAATTTGATATCACCAAATGGTTTACTGTTGGTGCCATGCCTATTCAGTCTACATCTTGAATATATTATTCATGCCATAGATCTGTAAGAACTGAGGACTGGTGTCAAAATCAGTGGAAGAAAAGTAAGTAATTTGAGATAGATGGATCCTGATGACAGAAAATGAAGGCAGAAACTAAAGAAGACCTAAGACCAATCATTCTAAAAGTAAAGCAGGAGAATGAAAAGGCAGGACTTTCTTTGAACATCAAGAAAACAAAGGTGATGTCTACTGGAAAGGTAGAGGAATTTAAGATAAACAGTGAGTTGATACAAGCGGTTAGCAGCTTCAAAGTTCTAAGCTCCAAAATTGATAAAATGGAGAATATGTAAAAAAGATTCAAAGAATAATGATGATGAGCAAAAAGGCTTTGGGGGCCTATACATCTCATGAAAGATCATGACATTTCAATTAAATCAAAAGCTAGAATGGTCTTCTCCTGTTACGATGTACAGATGTGAGGAATGGGCTCATCGTGTGAGAGGAAAAAGATAAATTCCTTTGAACTACTGCGCTGGAAGAACTGCTTTGCATTCCTTTGATAGCCAAGAGAACCAACCACTTAGTACTTGAGGAAATCAAGCCTGAGTGCACACTGGAAGTAAAGACCACAAAAACAAATACAAAAAACAAAACAAAAACAAAAACAAAAAACAAAAACACCTTATAATGCTGGGCAAGGGGAACAGAAGGACAAGAAGAGGCTGACAGCACTTGGGATAGAAAGCAGAAATGCACTTACTAAGATTGCATAATGTGGTGAGAGACAGGACATCTCAAAGAGTTTTAACCCATAAAGTCACCCACAGGTGGTTTGAGTCCATCAGACATAACAATAAATATTATAAACATATATAAAAACAAAACTAAAGAAATGAGAGGGCTCTGTACCCTGTAGTGAACACGGCAGGAACATAAACTTGCTTCTTGTGTTGTTCAGCAACTCATTTGCTATTCACTAGACTCAAGTATTGGATATTTGGATTTTTGCATCCTTAGGCACTGAACTTGTGAATGCTGCTCTCTAGATGGAATAGTTACATGAGATATTAAATCATTTGTACATGAATATGAACATCAGTTCCATTCTTAAAGATGTCCATTAACTCCAGAATTTGCTTGTTCCATCCATTAAAAACCACATTAATTATATTGTGGAAGTATGGTTATAGATATCATACAAATCTTCACAATCTCTTTGCCTTTTAATTTTACTTGGAAGTGACAGTATAGCATACTGAATTGCAATCCATTTTCTGTCACATGGAATTTGGTCAATTACCTCCAGGCTTCTGAAAGCAGTAACACCATTCATTGTTGGAAAGCTTTCCATCTTTGAAGGAGTCGCAGGAGTTGAAGAGAGGCTTAATGCATGGTTCATACTTATCAAGATAAATAGCATTGATCTCAGAGTGATCAAGGAGAAGGTCATAGTTCATATCCAGTTTGTTGAACATCCAGCCCAATGAATCCTTACAGATAGGTAATATGCTAGTATCAAATCCTGTAAAGGAAGGAACAAACAATTCCAGCTAAGAAAAACACAGTTATCTAAAGAATGTTAAAAAACACACACCCAAAAACACTCTAATTGTGTTCTCCTGTTTTGCAAATAATGATGGCAAAACTGGATTTCACATTAATGTTTCCTTCTTGACTTGCTAGAAAATGAAACATGATCTCAATTCAGAACTAAGTGAAAATGAAATGGATGAGCTGAAGCTGTGGTAAAGAAAATCCTCAGAGCATTATGATTGTTTCATAAAGGTGGATGTGGCCCACAGTTAAACAAAGACTTGTTCAATCAGAATTCAGTTTAATTGTTCATCTATAAACAAAACAGTCTTCATTAAATAAAGTGATTTATTTATAATTAAAGAAAGTTGGTCTTCAGTGAACCATATATTCCTATAGTGGTTCAAAGAAATTATTAAATGCTGCTGGAATTGGCATTTGCAATTGAAATAGGAGTCATATATAACAGAAGAGAAACCAACATTTCCTCCTCCCCTCACAATTTTAGCAGAAGCAGCACTACTGTCTTCAAATTATCTAGAAGCTGAGAACAAGAGCTACCATGAAGGACACCTTAGTTTTCTGGATTAAATTAATTAATATCAATAATCTCACATTCCTTAAACATTTGATCTCTGCAAAGCATTGCTTTGAAAGCAAAAAAGCAGAATGTTCCCTGCTAGTGAACTGTTTTCTCTTTTTTAAAGGAAAAGATAAGTTGGGTGCATATATTTTGAAGCAGAATCATTTTAAAATCTCAGGTGTACATGGATGAGTATTAACTCTGATAAAATGAACCTGCATCTCCAGGAAAATATGCAATTACATTTTCTCTTTCAAACGTCTAAAGATCTCAGGTTCCAACCTCCAGATATGACAAGTTCCCAATCTTCCTTTCAGACCTACTGTGCTAAAATCTCACTTTCTCTTGCATCCCTTTGCTTCTGCTTCTTTCAGGGTTAATGATAAGAAGATACACAGTTTGTCAAACAATTTTCTGCAATATTTAGATATCTAGCTGTGCAGAACTTTTTGAACTCTGATGTATGGTAACCAGGTAGTAAGTCACTTCTCAGGATGGCCAGGCAAGATATCTGTCAGTCCTCTGTCTGACGAAGCTGTTATTTCCTCATAATATATGAAAGAAAGAGCTGTATTTCCATTTGTAAACATTATGTATCAGAATTTTCCATGTGATGTGTCAGTTGTAAAGGCCATCCTTATAACTGAAGAAAACCCCTATCACTCAGACTGAAGAGTCTTGAAAACTATAAAGGCACTATAATGCACTTGCTATTTTAAATGTTAATTTGTGGGAACAGAAAGGTATCTTACTAGAAGAATTAGTGGCAAACCCAGGTGAGGATCATCAGTGACACTGGAGGATCATCAAAAGAGGCTTGGCAATGCAGACATTAATGTTATTTTATAACATGCTGCATTTAACAGATAAGCTAGAGATGTGATGGATGAGGTCTGAGCAATAGCTCCAGTATCCTGCTTTTTTTTTTTTTTTGCAGTATGTTATGTGGTTGAGCATAAATATAACACAAATGAAAAATACTGCAAAATAGTGCAAAATAAATAATCAAAATACAAATCTTGCTCACCTTTAGTTAAGTGATCATGAGCAACTTTGCAGAATAAAGCTCTGACTCACTATTAAACATGAACATTTCTTGAATCAGATTGAAGCGAACCAAGAAATTGTTTATATGCTATTTATAACTTTTTAGGCCGTTACCTGTTAAATGTCTCCAAAGCTCTATTTGTTTATTGTTAAATATGCTTTATAATTACCATGGAATAAAAGCAGCAGAAGCTTACAGCCTGCATGTCCTGTTTGTGGCATCTGGTGGGAAAAAAGATGCTGAACTAGCTAGTCCTTTGGCTGACTCCAACAGGGTTTTTCTTATGTTTCATTTGTGTGATGTTGATGATGATATCATGGTGCAGATGTCATTTGTCCTTTCTTGCCCCTCCCCTAAGTATGCCCATATGCATGGATCAGCTATCACTAATTCATACAATTTATTCCATAAAACAGGGAAGCCCTTTCTTATGGTGATCTCATAAGAGCATTTGGTTTCAATAAAGAGGCTTATGTGGTCTCCAAGGATCGATCTATCTATCTATCTATCTATCTATCTATCTATCTATCTATCTATCTATCTATCTATCTATCTATCTATCTATGATCTTTCAGAATATTATAGAATCATCCTAGAATTTATCTATAGAACTTTATGTCCACTCATCAATTCAGACATAGTATTTCTGATTGGACATAATTTCAAGTCATCTAAAATGAAATGGCCAAAAATATGCAGTTATTTCTATAACTAATATTTTAAACTTCAATATTAACACTCCATTGATTCATGTTTTTAATTTATCCAGAAATGAATGTGATCAAATGTCATCCCTCTATCTTTCTCTGCCATAGGAGATCTTTTGCATATTAAAAATAAGAAGATTACATATTCCAGGTCCAATATCAACTTTTCCATCTTTCTTTATAAAAACTCTACAATGTGCAAAGTATTGGATTTCCATTTGCTGCTCATTTCTTCCCATAAATACATACTGAGTTAGAGGATTAATGCACTAATTGAAATCTCTGTGACTGCTATTAAATTAATCAGCTGGTTTATTGGCTAATAAAATTGATGGCTACTATAGAAAAATAATTCTGAATTCTGAATTCTCTACAGAGTTTATTGGTTTTATTTCTAGCATGCAACAGCTTTAGTATAACCCTTGTATACTGCTTTGGCTAAGCTACAAGAGAAATCTAGGAAAATAGAGTGAAGACAGACATAACAGCACATCCCTTGATTGCAGCCAATGGCAATTTTATAGTCTAATCCAGTGTTTCTTAACCTCAGCAACTTTAAGATATGTGGACTTCAACTCCCAGAATTCTGACTGAAGAATTCTGGGAGTTGAAGTCCATACATCTTGAAGTTGCTGAGGTTGAGAAACACTGGTCTAATCCATTGGAATATGTATCAGCAACTCAAACCATTAAAAAAATAAATTTTACTACTGCTATCTCCTTTATGTTAATGAGGGTTGCCACTTTTAAAATAAATACAAACAGTGGCAACATGTGTTTTTACTACCATCAAATGTTCTTAAAGGGATTGAAATCGAAGGGGTTTCCTTGTTACAAAGTGGGATAGGGAGAAAGATGACAAACAAAGAAATGAGCAAGTGCTACACTTAGCTAGTCAATTCTGTAGGAGAGACAGTACATTCAATGTGAATAAAGCAAGAGTCCTTCCACCCTTATCACATTGTTGCAATGTGCATTTTGAATGCATAAAGTAGAAATAGTGCAATTAATAGGGGCATCATAATTGTGTTATGATGCACTGTAAAGATCAGATATGGAACACAAATGTTGACTGTATTTTTTAAAATACTAGTTTTAATATAATGCCCATTATGTATAATTACAAGAAGGATTTTTTTTTTACATCTAGAAAATGTTCTTTACTTTGATTTATAGGCATTTTGAAAAGAACTAAGACAAAAATAGCTGGATAAATGGATATTGCTGTTGAAAATGTTAATACTAGGAAATGTTTCCAGGACTATATTCTACTGAGATACTTAAAATTGCCAGTGTGTAAAAGTGGATTTTAGTAAGTCATCACTTGGCAAGGCACAGTTTCTTGGCTTTTTCTAAATCATCAAGAACAAAATGGTAAAGATATTTTCTTGTTTCTTTCTAAACAACTTGAATTTTAAGTAAGCAATGCATTCTGCCTAAGATATCTATTTATCAGAATGTAAGCAACAGTAGGGATTTTATCTTGAAAATGTTTTAGATAACTGATAATTTAACTCACTTAATGTAAGTTCTATGTAGGAGAGGATTCTAAATATTATTTACTTACTTATGATAAAGAGAAATAGTGCCCTAAAACTTTCAGGCTTTGAGAAACTGCCTCAATTGCTATACATTGCTTCCTATTTCAGGAACTAGGACTGAATATATAGAGCATTTTCTGCAATAAAAAATGTTGCAAGGTAATTTTAGATGAATAAAGCCCAACTTGAATTCTGCCTTAGCTCATAGATCTTATAATGCAAATAATAATTTAACTGATTGCAATTCTTAATCCTACAGACTAATAATATAGCATATTATTACTTTCCCCCTTTTTTGCATAACATATGTAGTTTAACAAAACAGTGGAACACTCTAGCCAAAGATACAGTGAACAAGTCAAGCCTTGGAGATGTAGAATTTGTGGAAAATTTGAAGCCTGGAAAAAAAAAAGTATTTAGAGTATATACATTTTTAAAAATACTCTGAAAATTTACAATTATCTTCTTACTTTGGGGTAGAACACTATAACTTGACTTGCTCATAAGATCAAAATGTATGGTATAAAAATGTATAATGTATGGGTGTTTCATAAAATCAAATCTGTTTGGACAAATGATTCAAGTTAGTAAAAATTCAATTATTGACACAGATGATGGAAATATAAATAAATATAATAAAATGAAATGAAATGGAACACAATATACAGAATTCCAAACTTCTACTTTTCTTTTTCTTTTTGCATAAAAAAAGGATTATTTTAGATTCTTTGCCTTGTTCTATTTTTCTAAACTTCAGGTTAGGACTCACAGGGAGGGGCAGAAGAGCTCTTTCTAGTCCAAATCTTTAAGACTTGCTGTATCCTTCTGGGCAAGTACAGTGGCCACGTTCTGGCTTCTAATTTAATCTTTGTAGAAATAAATGCTGCCTATTCTGCTGCCCTTCCAATTCTTTGATTCTTAGGCTACCTGAGGACAGGAAAAGATCCCCCAACCTATACAAACGTGCCCCAACGGAGCACTGAAACAAGGAAGGGATTGAGGGCGCCCTCAAAGCAGAAATGCATTTGTTTCTGGCAAGCATCGCTTATCAGGAATTACAGGACTAATAAGATTTATTATAATCCTCTGTAGAAAATCTTCCTGCTCCTT